AAGCTCTTCCTGTCTCCAAATCTTTCGAGTTGCTGGCTTAGTACTTCGTTCGTTAGGACTACTTGGCTTGTCTTCGGCTGCACTCCGGGTATTTCACCTCCAATTATCCATCCTAATCTTGTATTTTGCAGTGACGGTTGTCCTTCAATTTTGTTTCTGGGTGTTCCGACTAGAATTTTCCAATATAATCCGGCACCGATAAGCATATCAATCGGGCCAGGCTCGTCGAATCTTGGGTCGGCCATATCTATATCTTTTGGCATATTAAGTTGAGTGATATTGATTTTACTTTGAGGTAATCGTTCCGTGATCGATGGTAATACTAAACATTCAATGTTTGTTGAGAATCCCTTGTATATTGATTCAATTCTTATTTCCGTGACGTTATTTGCGTTGCTTCGAGTCTGATTTATGCCACTTATGGCTTGATTCTCCTTTCTATTAGGTAATCCTAGCCTTTTTAAAAAACTCTCCGTTATTATATTTGTTTGAGAACCCGGATCTAGAAGTACTCTGCAACTTTGAGAATTTCCTTTGACGTCATATGCCTTTACTCTTGCCGTAGACAAAATGACTGATAACTCTGTTTTTTTTCCATTACAGAGGCTGTTGATTTTTTCCTGCTTCTTACAATAGTTGACTATCGTCGTCGATGTGGATCCCGAGTTTTCTTGCTTTCCTGTGTCTGCTTGTGGCTCTGTGTCTGGATGCAATAGTGTGTTGTGTCGTTTTAAGCATTTTTTACAGGATGATGATTTACAGACCTTTGCGTGATGTCCTGATCCAAGGCAGTTTAGGCATAGCTGCTTACTGATGACTTCCTTTCTTCTTTCTTCAGTTGATAGTTTCAGTAATTCTTCACATTTATAAGTTTGAATGGCTTCGCTTACAGATAGGACATTCGTACGACGTTATCGAGAGAGAAATCTTCTTGTCTGATTTCTTTAGTGTTGTTGTCTTTGCTGTGGCTTCTTTTTTCGCCTTTCCTTGATTTAATACTCTCATTGTGTTATAGCGATCCATTAAAAATTTCAAAAATTCATCTATCGTCGGCATATTCCTCGGCGTTCGATTGTTCATCATGTTTTGCCAGTCACGTTGTTCAACAAAGTCCAATTTCTTTTTTGCTAAATGAATAATCATTGTCTCCCATTGATCCACTGGTTACTCTAGCGATTTGAGTGCTGATATATGCGTACGAATATGCCAAACAAATAACCTTAGGCTCTTGGCTTTGTCCTCTTTGGTAATCATGGGAAATTGTAACAATTCATCTAGATGCGTTTCAATTATAATCATTGTATTATCGTAAGTGTCTTTTAAAAGTTTCCATGCCTCTGCATAATTCTCATTCGAGATTTGATATCCTTGAATGACCTTTAATGCTTCTCCTCGAAGAACTCCTACCAAATATTGGTGCTTTTGTATTGGAGTTAGTTCTTCTTCTTCGTGAATTGTAGTCTCGAAACTATTCTTGAAGAATAACCATTTTGTATAGTCTCCGTTAAATTCTGGTAACTTTATTTCCGGCAATTTTGGTTTATTTTTCGGTGCTTCATAGTTTCTTTGATTGCCGTTGTTTTCTCTACCCTCAATTTGACGATTTTGCTCTTGACTACCATTCAGAATCCTATCAATTTTTTCTGCAACTTTGTAATAAATCATTTCAAATACTTGCCTTTCCGCATTGCCTTCTTGTATTTGTCTTTCATATTCTTCGTCGTTCTCTGTTGGTCTCGAATCAATTTCTGATTGTACCTCTTCGAAATTTTTCCAACATTCTTCGAGCTTTGCTTGTCGAACTCGAGCTTCCGTTGCTGTCCTCTGCCCTTCCGACTCGAAAAAATTTTGTATCCGCGTAAGTTGACCCTTTATTCTGGCTCGTTTATATTTTAAATCCCTCAGATTTGCCATTTTGTCTGTTTTTCTAGGTTAGGAATATTATAGAATTAGGATATTGCTTTTAGCGACTCACTTACCCTTTTCATTGCGTTAATTTCCTTTGTCGATACTGTGAGTACCCGAGACGTCTTACGTCGTTGTTGATCCCAATGAGTGAGAGATGCTGCGAGTAACCGAGACGTCCTACGTCGTCGTCGATCCCAATGAATGCGAGATGCTGCGAGTAACCGAGACGTCCTACGTCGTCGTCGATCCCAATGAATGCGAGATGCTGCAAGTAACCGAGACGTCCTACGTCGTCGTCGATCCCAATGAATGCGAGACACTGTTGTGTCGATGCTCACTGCGCTTGCCACGTGTCTGATCCCGCGCAAACGTTTTGCCTTTTTTCCTTTTATTTCTCGGCCATTACTCTTCTTCTGAGCTCGTGCCTCTTGTTGGGCGCCAAAATGTTATTAAATAAAACTGAGTGCGTTAGGTTTAACAAACCACTTTATTTTCACAAATAAAAATGATTGTTAACTGTGCAATGTCTGTCGCCATATCTGCCAGTAACCTTCTTCCTTCGCGACTAGCGCGCTGCTGGCGACTTTCTTATCAAACTTTAATTTATGAACTTTACTTGTCGATAAGCTATATTCAACAATATATATAAATAATAAATAATAAATAATAATAAACAAATATTTATAGAGTATAACTTGTAATTTTTAGTTATTTGGCAACTGGAGATGGACTTCAATCTATTGCATTGTGCTATCGAACTGGAAGAAGTACTACATCAGGTATAATAAAAGAAACTTGTGAAGCTTTATGGAAATGCTTTCACAAAGAAGAATTATTAACTCCTGCACAGAATGGATGGCGAGATATTGCCCATGAATTCCAACAAAATGTGGAATTTCCCAAACTGTATTGGTGCTTTGGA